CCTGACAGTGAGAACAATTAACCAGTGGAACAACCTGCCTCCAGAAGCGGTGAATGCTCCAACACTGGAAGTTTTTAAGAAGAGACTGGACAGCCATTTGTCCGAAATGGTATAGGGTTTCCTGCCTGAGCAGGGGGTTGGACTAGATGACCTTCAAGGTCCCTTCCAACTTTACTATTATTATTATTATTATTAAGAAGTTTGAAAGTGACCTCAAATTTTACCACAGAACTGTAGGAATAAGTATCTCTGGCTACAGTAGTCCGTGGTAAAATGTCCATTTAAAATGTTGCAATATTTGTAATATTCCTTCCATCTCACCTTGTAAAACAGCAGAATATATCCAGCCTCCGATCTTCCCGGCGGTATAGGTCCATACTCAAAATAGCAGGAAAAATTAACAGAACCATGGCAAAGTTAAATACTACAACCACAGCAGCCTGTATAGTCAAAGAGAGAAAGAAGAACATCAGCAATATCAGTACTAAGGCCACCGGAAGGGAGGGAGGGAGGGTTTAATTTTTTAAGAAAAAAGTTGTATGTAACTATTGTTATTCCAACACTGAAAGTTATAATTAGGTTTCCATATTGTAAACGTAAATATAGTAATGAAATATTAAGAATTAGATATTGTCCTAATAAGTATCCTTGGCTGTGTTACCAGATCTCAAATCCATTTCTTATGGGAGAAATTAGAACAAATAAAGAACAATTTATCCCCCCAAAAAATATGAAAAGCTCTGATGTGCATATTAATTTAATTTAATTTTAGTATAATTTTTGTGTCAAAAAAGAGGAGAGTAGAGGGAGAGAAAGCTCCAAGTCAAGACCTAAAACTCTACAACTTAACCACAGAAGTGTTCTTCGGTGGAAACTGCTTATGAAACCAATTAGCCACTATTTAGTGTTTCAGAGCAGTGATCCATTCATTTAAACAGTCCTTGATTTATATCACCACACAAGATACATGAGTCAGGACTTCAGTATCCTCTTTTGCACCTTACTAGGAAGAACTGTCAAAGAAACAAATGGCTATTTAGGCAAGACTGATATTGACAGAGGTCTGTTTTTTGGATTTAAAATAGAGAAAAAAAGACTTTGCAAAGGTTAGAACCTTCATCACATTGGTGTTTTTTGTATCTCATCACATTCCTTCCCTGAAGTTTTTAAACAGTTGTATAGCTACTTTGCACTATAATTTTCATCTCTCCAGACTGATTCCAAATGACCAAGGAAAACATTACATCACAGCCTATTTTTGTACAGCATTCAAACAAATTATTAACAATTAATGAAGAGTCGCTAGTTATGAATTCAACTTCAGACCAAAATATATTGTAAAATATATATCGTTGGACATTCTGAAAGTTAACTCATAATTCAATTGCTCAAGAAAATAAAGAAAAAACAGACTTGCTTAGGATGATATGCATAGTAGATAGAAAAAAGATGGCTCTTTTCATTTATTTGTTTACATGTATCTATATGTAGAGGAAATTTCCTATCCCAGCATTGACCAGCATTAAATATGTTTGATTTTAGGAAAGGCATTGCATTGTTTATCTTCAGTTCATGTCTTGGTGTCTAATAACAAGATATTGGGCTAAGGCTATATTTCAGTAACCCACACTAATTTCGGCTACCTTCACCAATCTCATTAAGTCATCATTTGCTTAAACAGTTTATTATATAAACCACATTTGGTTACATTTACAAATCAGTTAGCTAAAAATCATGATTTGCAAAGATTTAGAATATGTAGCTAGTTTCAATCAACGCTGAAAGCCACAAAGACAAATACATTCCTGTAAGAATGAGGTCCTTAGAATTTATCAGGGATGCTGTGGGAAAGATAAAAAGGTAGCTTATACCAGATTGAAACACTACCAGAACTGATTCTCATAAAAGGGGATCCCTAAGCCTCAAAAGAAATTGTTCCATTATCTCATGATTTGCTCAAATTATCCCCATGGGTAGTTACCAGCAGTTTACGAACAGCTTTTTACAGAGTTGCCTGAAAACTACTTCACCCCTGTGTAACTGGAATAGCAAAGTTTCTTCAAGTCACCCATCAGTAAGAAGGTAAATCTGAACGTCTCATACTTTTCCCTTTGGAGTTCCACAGACCTAGAGGGCAGCTATATTTCTTAATCCTAAAATGTACAAAACTTCTGGCTTCATTGCTCACAGAGAAAGAAAGGCTTAGTTGTACTTGACAGCTTTAATATGCATAGAATATTCATTCCTTTTTGGCTTTAGGAAAGCTGTGAAGGCCCATCTGTTCCATCTCGCAGAGTTATGTTATGATTGAAGATGGGGTTCACAGGCATATGACTTTTGGTATTTCCTAGTTTTATGTTTTCTTGACTTTTTATTTTTGCACATATTGGGTCTTTGGGGATGTATGATTGTTTGATCATATTTATATGACTGCTCTCCTCATGCAGCCTGATTCTAGGTGCTGTACAAACAACTATAAAAACAATTTCAAGAACATTCTAAAGGTGTAAAAATTTAATATTATTAGAAAAAGCTAAGAGAAGGCATCAGATTATAAACAATGGAGCCATCTAATCCAATTACCATTCCCGTATTGTTTTTGTTGCTGTTTTCAAGATTAATTGCCCAGAGTCTTCAGGAACTGGGCAGCACCAAGTATAGTAAATATGTAAGAAATATTTAGAATATTTTATGTACAGTATAAGTTGCACATTGACACACCAGCTACAAAGCAGGTTGATTAAATGTTTTTTTCAATAATCTTTTTCTTTACAACATGGTGGCTGCTGTCCCATGTATTTGCTGAAATAACATAAGATCTGAGCTGGAATTATTGAGAGATAAAGTAAAACAAGGCCCTGATTTATATACTGCAATATACCATTCTTTGCAGGCCAGCCAGAGTTAGTGGGTGTATTGTTTGATAAGAGATATTACAAATGAAGAGATCAGCTTTGCACTTAATTGCTAATCATATGCATCTCCTTCCTAATGAAAATCACAATGTTATATTTTCTTTCTCTATCTTCCTGCCCAACATTTGCAACCAAAATTAAAGGTATTATGACTGGGACAAAAGAACTTAGGGAACTAGATGTAGACAGATGTAGCTATTCCATCCAGCCTAAGTTGGGAGTAAAATGATAAATGAGTCAGTGCAGCTGGCACTTTTACTCCCACTATGTACATGTACTTAACAGGGCACTGTGCATCATTAAGCAAGTGAAAAGAATATCTTTTTGCTTCCCACAAAGGCTCTCGCTACAGGGAAAAGACTATGCCATGGGGGTTTTGCGAATAGCTTATGACGGAAGAAACTGGATGGTGTAAATCAACGGTTCTTAATTGGTGGTATCCATATCACAGGTGGAACTTAAGAATAATTGAGGTGAAACACCAGGGTAGGTCACTGAAACTTTAATTAAGTCTTTAAGACTTGCCATAAGTGATGAGTGTAGTAATAAAATAAAAATGTTGAGCAGGAATTGACAGTCTCAGAACCAAGAGCTTCTGTAAGCCAAACCTCCTTTTATGGCTTCCAGAGCTACTCCCAATTCACAAGTTTTAGAAATTGATGGTGTGGTTTCCTACGATTTGGAAGCAAAAGCAAACAGAAACTGAACTTGTAAACCTTCATTTTTTCCCCTTCTATACAATCATGTCCAATTCTTAAAGGCAGCCTGGATAAGTACCTGTGGGGATTTTTTTGGCACAGTTTTTCAGAAGTAGTTTGCCACTGCCTCCTTCCCAAGGCTTAGAGAAAGTGACTCACCCAAGGTCACCCAGCTGGCTTTGTGCCTGGGCAGGGGCTAGAATTCACATTCTCCCAGTTTCAATCCTGATATTTTAACCATTAACTAATCCCCTGCATAAAAATAGATACACAGATCCAAGTCATCTTCCATCATCTCATCCACTGGGCTGCTTCGAAAACAAAAAAAATAAAGTCACTACTCATGTTTTCATTACTATGTTATGGTCAATTGATCTCCATGATCAGGGAGGTCCCCTATTCATATACAGATCAATGAGGTACAGGTAGTCCTTGACTTATGGCCACAGTTGAGACCAAAATTTCCATTGCTAAGCAAGAAAGTTGTTAAGTGAATTTTGCTCCATTTTATGATCTTAACTGCCACAGTTGCTAAGTGAATCACTGCAGTTTGTTAAGTTAGTAACACGGTGGTTAAGTGAACCTGGATTCCCCATTGACTTTGCTTGTCAGAAGATTGAAAAAGGTGATCACAGGGCCCCAGGGCCCCTGTCAAAAATTTCAACCAGTTGCCAAGTGTCTGAAGTTTGGTCACATGACCAGGGGATGTTGCAATGGTCGTTAAGTGTGTAAAATAGTCATAAGTCACTTTTTTCAATGCCATTATAACTTTGACTGCTCACTAAATGAATGATTGTAAGTCAAGGACTACCTATTTAGACATCACATTCTTTATGCAATGGAGTCTCAGTATAAGTCTCCACAGGTCGTAAAGTTGCCATAGTTGCCCAACCCTGATTTAAGGGATATAATATCATATAGCTCCAAAGGTATTCAATCTGACAAAAATATTCAATTAACAGAATTTCAGGATGAACTTCAGTTGTGGGTGCTTGGGAGCAGGAATGTCCACTGGGAAGGTAAAAAAAAAGTCAAGATTATGGCCACAATTGTGTTTGAAACCCCTCTCTTTTTCCCCCCATATATTTTATTGATTTTTTTAAAAACATAAATCACTTAATAGTTGGTAAACAGTGTGTTTGCTGGGTTTACATTTGTAAAGAAAAATCATTAACAATTGGTTTCTATAATCCATAATCCACATAGTACATTTAGTTGATTTCCCCTTTTCCCCCAAAATGTCTTCTTTGCAAACCTTGAAATAATACAGTTCTTATTATTTTGATAAATAACAGTTACGTATATGATTTTTCCCAATATTCCTAGAAATAATGATCACATCAATATATTTCTTTTCTATCTAATCATTCTGGTTGCCTCATCTTATATCCTGTTACAGTCCTTATTTAGATTTGTTTCTCCCATAAAGTTCAACGTATTCTTGCTAGTTAAGATTTTCTCAACATATAATTTACATTTAAAGATTTAAATCCATTTTTCCCATATAAACCATCTCAACACTTTTACATTTCTTAAAGAATAGGAAAAAACAGTAAAGAAAAGGAAAAAAGAGCAAGAGTAAAGAAACATAAAAAGTAAAATACTACTTAAAATATATATTCCTCCTAAGCTAATATATATTCATTCCCAAAATTTCTTATTCTTTTTAACCAGATTAAAAATATATTTAATCTTTAAATATTCCATTTAATGTGTCTAGTCATCTAATCCTTTAACTCTTATTCAAAACATTTTTTTCTTTTTTATATATTATAATTTCCCTAAATCCAGACACATTTAATTATCTAAAACATTTCCTTCATCTAG